AGTGAGTAGATACCCATCATCTCTGGTGTGTATAGTTTAGTTTTTTTCCAGTTCTTCGAATTAACACATACTCAGTGTAGATTCAGTAGAAAACTCCAAGTGGCAGTTCCATAGTGTATTTTGGTGACTTTCTTTCTATTCATGTTTGCGCAGGTATATTATGTAATTTTTAAAAATAAAATGTTTTGTTATAGATGTTTGCAGAGTAGGTAAACTGATAAAATGTTTTACCATGATATTTTGTGTGTTTTAACTATAAAATTGCCTTTGTGGATTAATATAGTTTGCATACATATAGCTCCATATTTTCAACATCTGTTAAGTTTTTGTCTTTATACAAATAATTGAGTATATTTGTGCCGTGAGAGTTTGAAAGCAGCATCAAAGTCTTAAATGATTTGGAACATATTACAAGTGTAGAGTCGTGTCTGTATTTTTCTGTCATTGGTATCTGATTGACTTCTTGACATATCTGATAAACCTGGGATAGTTTTTTTTTTTTTTTTTTAACTTATTTTTGATCTTTTGAGACAAGGTCTCACTGTGTAGCCTTGGCTGGTCCAGACCTTGTGGCAGTCTTCCTCACTCCACCTGGTGGGTGCTGGGATTCTGGTGTTTGCATCACACCCAACTTTGGATTATTACTTTTGAACTGTGCCTGTTTGAGAAATAAAATTGGTTTCCATTGTTTTCCCCCCTCAAATTACAAAATTAACAATATAATTCTAATAAAAAATTAAGCAGTTTAGAAACTAAATAGCAGAATTAGGAACTGGGGAGATGCCTTAGTGAGTTCAGTATTTGCTGTGCAGCCCGAGGGCCTGAGTTTGGATCTCAGCATCAGTCCAGAGAGCTGGGGAAGTGTCTATATACATGTGTACAAATGAACTTTTGTTCCTTCTCCCTGTTGTGTGCTGCTGGAAACCCAACTTATGGAACATCCTAGGCAATGCTCCACATGCAGCTTCTGAGATTTGTGTCATGCTTAGAACGTCCTCCTTAAGGCCTGGCAGTGATGGTGCACACCTTTAATCCCAGCACTCTGTGAGTTCGAGACCAGCTTGGTCTACAAGGGCTAGTTCCAGAACAGCCTCCAAAGCCACAGAGAAACCCTCTCTCAAAAAAACCAAACAAAACAAAGAAAATCCTCCTGAAAATGGAAACATTGCTAATGAACTTTTGTTCTTTCTCCCTGTTTTGTGCTGCTGGAAACCCAACCTTAGGGAGCATGCTAGGCAATGCTCTATCACTGATGGTATTCTGAGCCCATGGTGTTAGATTTTGTACTGCTACTTCTGTGATTTTTTCTTTCCTTCTAAAATCACATTTAGTTCTTTGTTTTTGGTGCATTGGATTGTAGGAGCCCTATAACAAATATAAAATAATTTTAACTTTCTTTGTGACAGTAACAGATAACTCAAAAACCTTATGCAAAATGATTTACGTGTTGGCTACTGTAGGTCAGAAATTTGGAGCCAGCACAAGAAATGACTTTCCTTCACTTTATAGCATTTGAAGCTTCAGCTGGGGGTCTGGTTGCACTCAGGAATTCTTGAGTATTTCTCTGTAGCTCTGTCCTCCCGTGTTGGTTCCTCTGTGGCTGCTGCACTGCAGGCAGGCTTGAGCTTTGGGCTTAGAGCTTCCAACACACACAGAATGAGAGTCACTGGACAGGTACCACCACTGACATTTGTGTAGGTTCTCATGACCTAACATCAGAAAGAAGTTACATACCGTTCATTATTTCTGAGTAGGGAAGTGGACCCCATGTCACTGCCTGCAACTAAGAGCACATGGAATGGCATCTAGATCAGTGTGGTCATAGTTTGAAAATACAGGTTGTCATATTCGCTCATTTAAATCAGTTCTTTAGGGATATAATTAGTATAATGCATATCTGAAACAGAGTATACACTGATTTCAGATTAAAATATCTACCCTTGTTTTTAATCATTTAGTATAATTATACTAAATTTATATTTACTATAAATATACATGTCAGAAACCATGTCAACTTGTCAGTTCCCAGTCTAATTGTAATTTATCTCCAAGCCTTTGATTTTAATTTATTGTCCTGCCTCTTGTGTTTGCTCTTCTGTGACTTTTTCCTTTCTTTGAAAGGCTTACTAATCTATCATTTCTTTGAAACTCTTTTGATTTGTTTTAGTGCTGGCAGTTGACTGCATAGATCTTCTGCTACTGAGGTATATCCTCAGCCCTAACTAGAAAATTATTATGGCTTTTGGTTAATAGCTCCCCTCCCTTTCTTCCTTCTCTTCTCGTCTCGTCTCTTCTCTTCTCTTCTCTTCTCTTCTCTTCTCTTCTCTTCTCTTCTCTTCTCTTCTCTCCTCTTCCTCTTTCTCTCTCTCTCTCTTTCTTCCTCCCTCCCTCCCTTCCTTCCTCTCCCTCCCCCCTCTCCTTCTCTCTCTTTCTGAGGTAAGTTCTCCCTATATAGTCTAGGCTAGACTTGAATTTAGTCCTCCTGCCTCTGCACTTCACGTACTGGGATTCTGCCATCTCTTGACATGATAGAAAGAGTGATATTTGAATCCCTGCCTTCCTCTAGGAATAAAAAAAATATGGGGAGGGGTAGGAATGACCTCAGTCAGTGTCTTAGTTAGGGTTTCTATTGCCATGAAGAGACACCATGATGGTGGCAGCTCTTACAAAGGAAAACATTTAATTAGGGCTGGCCTGCAGGTCCAGAGGTTTAGTCCATTATTGTCCTGATGGGAAGGAAGTGTGTCAGCATGTAGGCAGGTGTGGTGCTGGCAAAGGAGCTGAGAGTCCTGTCTCTGGATCCACAGGCAGCAGGAAGAGTGAGTGAGCCACTGCCCCTGGCTTGAGCTACTGAGACCTCAGAGTCCACCCCAGGGACACACTTCTCCAGCAAGGCACACCTACTTAAACATATAATGCCACATGGGGCCATTTTCACTTCAACCACCACCGTCAGTAAAGAACTTGCCTCTCAAGCGTGAGTGCCTGGATTCTATCTGGAAGCCCTGTCAAAATGGCATGGCAGAGTGCATGTAATCCCAGAGACAGGAGTGTTCTGGAGCTTACTGGCTAGTCAGTCTAGCCTAATTGGTGAGTTCCACACCCTGTTTCAAAGGAGGTGGATGATACCCTGTCTCCCTAAGCATGCATACACACGTGAACTCATGAATACACATGCTAAAAATAATTCTGCATGAGTTAGTAGACATTGATGATGTTCACTGCCAAAGATTGTGATGTAGGAGACAGAAGGGTTGTGCATAAAGTGTATTTGATGTTAGAATAGTCCGCTCTTGGGTTGTCCAGTAAGGCACCCTGTTAACTGTTATTGTGTGTTTTCTCCTTCCACTTTCCCTCTGCTTTGGCTCAAATACAGGCTTGTTCTTGAGTTTAGCTCCTCATTTGAAATCTGGTTATCTGGGTATAGAAAATGATTAATACACTTACTTTCTTATTAGGGAGTGGTTACTATTAGCAGTAGTTACAAGTTCTTTTAGAACTTAGTAATCATGTTACTTGTAGAGTGTGCTTGTAAAGTGGTGTCACTGGTATCACAAGTCAGATACCACTTAGAACATTCTGGTTTCTACTTACTGAACAGTGATATTAGTATCAAGGATAATAAAGGAGAATTGCCACAGCCCTAAGGTTACTTTCAGTAGTTTGCCATGGCCTTTCAATGTTTCATCCCTGTGTGAGCAGTAATGAGGGAGGTTACAAGTAGGTAACAAGTTTGTCCTTGACGGGAGGAGCATGCACCATAGTATATTGTTTTCCATTTAAGGATTTTTAATTGTGTGGAGTGTGTGCAGATGCCCCACAGAGTCCAGAAGTGGATGCTGGATCCCATGGAGCTGAAAGGCCTGAAGGGGGTGCTGGGAGCTGGAAGTGCTTCCTCTGTTCTTAGCCTCCCAGCCAGCTCTTAGCACCAGTGGATGATCTCCCTTTCTTACTGTTTGAGTTTGTGTGTGTAGGTTCACATGTGCCTTAGAGAGTTGTTTGCCTCCTTTCTCCATGTAGGTCCTGAAGATGGCACTCGGGTGTCAGGCTTTGTGGCAAACATTCTTAGCTGCTGAGGCAGGCATCTTATTTGGTCCTTGTGGAGCTTAGGTTGGCTTGGGAGTTGCTGTGTAACTAAGGATGACATTGAATTCCTGATCCCTTTCATCCATCTCTTAAGGGCTAGGATTATAGGGTGTGTGCCATCATCCCCACCCTTAGCTAATAGTTTTCTAAAATTTAGTGTTTATGGGGGAAAACACTGCCAAGTGCTTATTAAGTTTGTGGAAGGTTTGTTTTTATGCCACCATGATGATAAATGTCAGTTTCTTTCGAAGTAATTATTTACTTGGACAATAGGTTGCAGTTCTCTTTAACAGTCCTGAAGGGTTTTTTTTCCTTCATAGATATGTGTGTATGTTTGTATCAAGCAGGTTTGCAGGTGTGTGGGCACACAAATGTATGTGCATGTGGAGACCGGAGGTTGACAGTGGGGGTGTGCTTTGCATTCGTTGGGGCAGATTACCCGAATTGAATCCAGAGCTCAACTGATAGAGGCTAGTGTAGCCAGCCAGCCAGCCTGCCCTGTGTCCACATCTGAGTGCTGGGGAGATCAGGCAGGCGGCTCACCTCATATTGTATGGGTTCTGCACATCTGAACACTGCTCTGTATGCCGGTACAGTAAGTGTTTTAACCAGACTCTGAGTGTGAGTATTTATGTTCAGAAATTTTTAGATGGTGGGGAAAGACTGTGTTCTTGTGTTATGCCCAGATTTCTGTTTATGGAGAGCTAGACAAAAAATGCTGGCTTGTGTTTTACTAGTGAAATGAGAGTAGAAAACATGTTTAGTTAATGATGTATATTGATCAAAGTATTTCAGATCTGTCACCTTGTAATTAGATGTGTTGTGCTTTTTTCAGTCCTTTGTTAAAATAACCTGTAATATGCTGTTGCATTTTCCCCAACACAGTAAAGTGCAAATAAGTATTATTTCCATAGGCATCAAACATGATGGAACTATGTGTGACACTTGCCGCCAACAACCAATCATTGGCATCCGATGGAAATGTGCAGAGTGCACAAATTATGATTTGTGTACCGTTTGTTATCATGGAGACAAACATCACTTAAGGCATCGCTTTTACAGGATTACTACACCAGGAAGTGAACGGTAAGGTAAACAAGTTTTTCTTCAATCATGATTTTTCTTTTTAGGCTATTAGCTTTTTCAGGATTATGAAGTAGCTGTTGACAGTTGAGGTTTAGTTTTAGGGGAAAATGAATAGCAGGCTAGACTTCACAGATTCTTAAAGACCCCCCACCTCCACTCTGAACCCAGCTTACCGTTCTTTGTATGTGGATCATTCTCTTGAGGTGACCAAAGTGCTGCTACGAAGTGTTCTCCCTGAGTCACAGACAAGTGTGTTTTGCAGCTCATCCTGAGACACTGCACTGCCTTTTGTAGGTCCTGACAGGACACTTAGAGCCATAGCCTGAGGTGGTTTTGATTCCATTGCTTTTTACTTTTTTTTTTGTGAACCTGAACAAACCCTCTTTTTCATGCTTCAAGTCCTTATTTGTAAGATGGGCAGTGTAGTGTTGTCTTTCTTTTAAGGAGCTAACACCTTCCCCATGTAAAGGCTTTTACATTTCACATATATCACTATTTCTCAGTTTTATAAAATGTGAAAATAAAACTTTTATTTTTAGGGTTCTGTTGGAGTCTCGTAGAAAATCTAAGAAGATTACAGCCAGAGGCATCTTTGCAGGTGCCAGAGTGGTGCGAGGAGTGGACTGGCAGTGGGAAGATCAAGATGGGGGCAATGGGCGTAGAGGAAAGGTATGGACTTTTAAAATTCACCATGTGCTCTAGAGTGTGGTGTTGAGATTTCTATTGCTGCTGTGAGTGCATGTCTCGGCCCATTCATTTCCATGCCAGGAACAAGTTTTAAAAATCTTCATTTCTTTCTTTTTCTTTTGGGAGAAAATAGGTCTCCTGCTTATTTGTGAAAGATGCTGTTTCCCAAGAAGGTTATTAGGTGGGTTTTACTTTAGGCTCCCTCCTACTGTTTGGTGGTCCATAGATACCTTCCTGAAGATTCCATGGGCCAGTCTTTCCTAAGTAGCACCTCAAGTTTAGATTTTTCTGCTGTTAAAATTTTATCTGAGGGCCTAAAGTGTAGTTCAATGAGAGAGCCTCAGTGCCTTCCTGGATTTGATTCACAGAACTGTTAAAAATCATAAACATTAGCTGGTGCCATAGTGGCACATACCTCTAATCCCAGGATTCAATAGGCAGAGGCAGGGGGGGCTCTGTGAGTTCGAAGCCAGCCTGGGCTGTTAACACAAAGAAACCCTGTCTTGAATCCCCACCTCACCAAAAGAATAGAATATATGAGAGTCTTTAAAAGCCTCTGTGCCTGTCCCATTTGCAACCTTCCTCCAAAGTAACTTATAGCCTTATTTTATGTTTACCATTTTGTTTGTTTGTTTGTTTTCCTTTATTACTTTTTGGTTAATGTTGTCTCTACAGCAATTGGTACTTACATTTTGAAAAAGAAAGTAGCAGTCACAGACCTAGCTATTTTAACAGCAGGGCAGAATGTTCTTTTTAGATGAAGGCTCCCAGAAAAATAGGAACAGATTAGTCTGTAGTAACTGTTTTTCTTCAGTACCTCTAGAATGTGTGAGGATCCTTCTGAGGCTGGCATTAGGCACAGCCATTCGTGAGTTCTGGGAACACAGCTCAGCACAGGATATCAGGTGACAGAGTAGGGGTAGATCCTAGGTAAGAACATTGTGAGAAGAGGTCATTGCCATGTAGTGTTTACTTCTAAGCTCACTGTAGCCCACCATAGTTTTATAAATAGGATAATGCATAATATTCCTACCCCTTGTGTATGGGAGAAAGAGACAGACACCTTAACTAGTGTTAGTGTTAGGAAATAGGTGGTGGAGGAGCACAGTCCAAACAAACAGAACATTTGATACCCTAGAGATGTGGTCAGGCATAGTAGGCAGTCTGTTCTCAGGTCAGCAACATATACCAGCAGTGGAGATCTTTTTAATTTTAAAAAAAGGTATATTTATTATGTATACAGTGTTCTTCCTACATGTATTCCTGCAGGCCAGAAGAAGGCATTAGATCTCATTATAGTTGGTTGTGAGCCACCATGTGGTTGTTAGGAATTGAACTCAAGTCTTCTGAAAGACCAGCAAGCCCTCTTAACTGCTGAGCCATCTCTCTAGCCCCTTTTTAATTAAAAAAACAAAACAAAACAAAAACAAAAAACATTTATTTATTTATTTATTTATTTATTCATTTTTTGAGACAGGGTTTCTCTGTGTAGCCCTGGCTGTCCTGGAACTGGCTCTGTACATCAGGCTGGCCTTGAATTCCAGGTGTTCACCATCACCACCTGGCAAGAGCTTTCAGCCTGTTCAACACTGGCTGTAGTCTGGATGACTTCTCCATGTGCTTGTTGCCCCATCTTGAGGCACCTTCTTATAGCCTGCTGTTTTCTCTGGATGCCTCTGTCCCATTATGCTTTACGTACTCTTTCCAGAGCACAGACTTAGAAAGTTCATAAGAAGACAAAAATTAATATTTTATTCTGAAATGAGTTTATGTTCTTTTCCACAGATACATAGGCCAGAGGATTAGATGTAATTTTTGCGAATGATTTTCTAAGACAGTTGCTGTGAGGCACTCTGAAGCCACCGAATTGGGACTGTATTGGGTTTTGTTATGGTTGTAGTTTGCTTTCTGTTGCTGTGACAAGAATACTGACAAAAGCTAACTGGGCTGGTGGGGTAGGTAGGTGGGAGGTCGGGGGTTGGTGCTGTTACTGCATCCCATAGGTTATGTTCCACCATCTAGAAAAGCAAGGACAGTAGCTCAAGGGAGGAACTGAAGTAGAAGCCCTGAGGAGTACTGCTTATTGACTGGCTTCCTATGGCCTGCTCAGGACCACCTGCTTAGGGCTGGCACTTCCCATTGTGGACTGGACCCTCCCACTTCTTTTGTTAAATTGTTAATAATCAATTGTTAATCAAGAAAAGGCCCACAGGCTTACCTCCAGGCAATCTGAGATGCAACCTCTGAGTTAAGGTTCCTTCTTCCCAGATGACTTGGCTTGTATCAGGTTGACAAACAACAACAGAACACTAACCAGTCAGCACTTTTGGGAGAGTGAGGAAAAGGAATAAACGTAGGCTTTCCTGAAGCTGTGAATTATCACTATACAACTTTGGCTTTTTATTTGTTATTTTATGTAGGTATGCTAAGTCAGAGTCCTTCTTAAAAAACACTTTTGATGAAAATATCTCTCATACGTCAAAGTAGAAAGAATAGCATAACATATTCCTAGGCATTCATCACTCAGCTTCAAAAATTATGAACCCTTTAAAAATTCCATTTATTTGTTGAAGAAACCCAGATCTTTAGCCTTGGCTGATCCTTCATCTTGTGTTTTTCTTTTTCTGTGGTAGTGAGGGTTGAACCTAGGACCTCACTCATACTGCTAAATAAGTAAAAAAATAGGTCTTAGGGGGCTGGAGAGATGGCTCAATGGTTATGAGCACTGCATGTTCTTGCAGAGGATCTGGGTTCAGTTCCCAGCACCCACATGGTGGCTCACAACTGCTTGTAACTCTAGTTCAAGGAATCCAAAGCCCTTTTCTGGCCTCTGAACTCCTGCACACATGTGGAGCTAATAATCTCATGTAGGCACACACATGTATAAATAAATCAATCTGAATCATAACTACTTAAGGTAGTGTTAAATTTTACAGCATGAAGTACTGATTATATTCGAATCTGAAGAAAGGTTATTGCTACAGACGGCATGTTGCATGTTCATGTCAGCACATTACAAATTTGCTGGGTAAACTTGTACAGTGTTAATTGGGCAAAATCTTAAAGCATGGTGGGGCAATGATGGACTAAATTAGAAAGATGGTTGCCTTTTGAGAGACAGGTAGAGGGATGGATGTGATGAGCATTCGGGGTCTTGAAAAGTCTTGGCATTTTTTTTTTTTTTTTTTTTTTTTTGTTTTTTTTTTTTTTTTGTTTTTA